TTTTTCCTCGATAACCATTTAGTGAATTTGAATAACCTTACGCTAAAGTGATTCTCCAGAGTTCAAGTTACTTATTATAAAAGTTTGAAATTTCTGGTAGCTTTTTTTCTGTTAATAAAAATAAATTTAATCTGTTATGTTAACGAATCTCCATAAAATGACGTGTAAAATTACAATTTTTTAAAATTTCAATAACTTTTTAACGGTTTAATGAATCGTTTTGTAATTTTTACAGGAGTTTTAGAATTGAATGAGGAACGTTCTTCCAAATTTTTATTCGTCTCGTAGCATTTTGACATACTTCCCAAACATCCTTAATTGAAATCGAGGGTCATGAGATGAGTGAAGTAACTTTAAGCACAAAAATAATTCGCGTTCTATCCGTGAAATTTTGTACGTCGAATTTCGAGCACTTTATTTTTGCAATTAGTGTTCTTCCCTTTGAGGATGTTAGTTGACGCGGATGCCTCGGTAAAGATTTAGCTCTTGGGCGAGACAATTGAATAACTCATGAGCTTCATCGCGGCAAGATAATTAGCACACCCACACCGTTCATTCGACGCATTCATGTTACGCGTAGCTGTGTAGGAATGTATAGTAACTGAATTACGACATGACGATCTTTACCAAATGTACCATCGTAAGAAGGCAGTAAGGCTACTTGATGTCCTGTAGTTGCAGTTCCACGAACGCATGTAGGTAACAAGGAAGTTGGAACAATTAAGCAGATATTACTATCAATATGTATACGTTATATTCTAAATGCAACCAATTATATTCGAGTCAGAAAGGAAAAATTTCTTCGTCGCCGTTACAATTTTTAATTTTTATTTTGAAGATATTGCTTCTACGTATGTATATTATTGTTGTTAAGTCCGCTTCTGATAAGATAATTTTTACAATCTCAGATCACGAAGCCAGACAATATAAGTACTTCGTTCGTATTGTCTTTTCCTACCGTAAGCATAAGATTCAAATCTAACCAATTGAATTTAGATCTTGAGAGGAGTTTGTCAGTAATTTTTGAATGCTTTATTTGAAAAAATTCGAAAATAAGACATCTTTCGTCAACTATCTGAACTTACCTGAATTAACATTCTAGCTTGGTAAATACTGTTTAATACTTTATTTTCCTATAAAGATTACTACAACAGTAACTTTTATGTTGAATAATTTTTGTCGTTTGATACTTCAGTAGCAGCTAATGCTAAGTAGATGACGCTACAGTGGCTCTACTTGGAAAATTTTGTCTTGAATTTATCAATCATAAGCTTATTAAAATGGGTTAGTTAATTACGAGATTAGCTGTTGTAATGTAAATGATGGAGTCGCTTTTCATGTAGATTGTTATTTTGTCACATTAATTAGCAGAGATGTGCAAAATGGTTTTCTAAAGGTATTTAAATATAAAATGCAAAAACTTTTTTATTTGTTATTTCAAATGTAAAATACAAAATAGATTTCCCTTTTGTATTTTAAATGCTAAATGCNAAAACTCAAACCTTGGCAATTAGTTCATCACCTATTAGAGAAAAGCAGAGAAACTGTAGAATATAAATTAATTTTACCTTTAGATGAAGAGGATGATAAGGGGAAATAATTAGCATGTAATTTATCAATGTGTGTGTTACTAAATTAGTATGATGAAGATCAGATTGTTGCTACTGAGGTGTTTATACTCCAGTCTGGAGGATTCTTGTTCTCAATTAGGAATATTAGTGAATCCTGAAGTTACAAGTGTGAATAGTTGTGGTGATATTGACTTGTTGGTTTTTCCTGTCCAATTTATTTAAGAACAGAGGGCCATTATTTATAGGTATGCGTTCACAAAGATACTAATATTTTATTTTAGTATTGGCAGCAACAAAGCTAATTTTAACTTGTAAAATACAGTCTAACATAACTTAAATGCCAAAATTACAGAGAAAAAGACAGATTAATAACTGTTCACAAAAAACTCAAACCTTGGCAGTTAGTTTATCACCTTCTAGAAAGGCAGAGAAACTATAGAATATAAATTAGTTTTACCTTTAGATGAAGAGGATGATGATGGGAAATAATTACTATATAATGAGAGTCTGATAAATGTAAGGTATTTTTAAAAGAAAATGCTGAATTATAATAAAAGTTAAAATATTGTTTCTATTTTATTTAGTATCTAACTTTTGAAAAAATGTAACAAATACATACATTTACTTAGTCCATGAAACTTTAGGAATATCAAAATGCTCTGTAAGACTGTCCAAATGTTGATTGAATTTTTCAACTCTCTGCTTGTGGGTTAAAGATGCCTTTTCCATAATTCTTTCTGTTTGCTGTAACCACAAGACCGTATTAAAATCAGAAGTACAGTAAATTTACTATAGTTACCATCTTTTCTTTCATTTTGAGATACGCC